GGTTTTTTTATAAAATACAATATGTGCTAAAATTTTATTACGTACACACAAAGTCATAAGTACTTTAATGCTTGAACTTACATTGAAATCTTTTTAAAGCACGACGTACTACTTAATAAAAAGTTTACGTTTCTAATTGGTTGTCAGAGAAACATTATTGCTATTTTTTTTAATATTATTCATTATATGTACATATAAAATTTGTTATTACTTATTATGTGTATTTTGTATACTACATATTATTTATATATATATAATCGTCAAACATTGATGTATTACAACTACAAAATTTACTTTCAGCTATTTCGAAACAACATCTCGAATAACCAACAGTCGCGAGTCGCAAATATTTAAATATAAAGCACATATCCCGAATATGTCACAATATTCCAAGGTAGGAATTTTCAAACTTATATAGATCGCGACCTACTTTTTCAAACGATAAACATCTACGACCAACTTAACTTCAGTGAAAATAAAAAAGCGGAACGAGGATTAAATTAATTAACACTTATTTGTATCATTTTATTTATATTATTTTTACTTTTTCTGCTTTTTTATTTTTTATTAAATATAATTTTGAAAATATCAAAATAATTTATTTATAAAACATAAAAAGTTTTAAAGCGAACATATATATATGTACGTTCATGTAAACTTCACAGAACAGGGATTTCCAAATGATTGCAATTGCGATCCTTTTTTTAAAATGGCAAATATTCGCGTCGTCTATAAAATTTTAATAAATCTGAAAAAGTGTATAGAGCTATATATATAAAGTAATTATTTATTTAGAACATTTTAGTCCTCCTATGTTTTAATTTTTTATTAAATGTAATATTATAAATCTATTTTTCAGACACATAATATGTAAAAAATGTTTCTATTTCCTATTTTTGTTGACAGTTTTAATATCAACTCAATACAAGAGATTTTTAGACATAGGAATTTGATAATATTAATTTATTTTAAATTTTGATTTCAATGTTAACAAGTTGGATAAATTAACAATTTAATTTTACACATATACGAAATCGAAAAAACACGTTTGAATGTACATACAACTATGCGAAGAAATGAAATTGCACAAAAAGAATTTTCTCTTAGAATTTACTTTGAAAATATGTTAATTTTGGCCCAATAAAATATTAAAAAATTTTTACTATGCACTTTAGTAAAATTAATCAAACTTATTTTATATTTTATTGTAGTTTTATTAATGAATATGAGAGAGAATTAAATATGATTCTTTAAATGTACAGTGTTGTCCTACGATACCATACTTTCAAAGTAAACTCTAAGAAAAAAATTCTTTCCATGTAAATTCTAAGAACGAAATGTAATATTCTAAACTTTTACCACCAGCCACCTATACTTTGGAAACCTATTCTAACAATATTTATGATTCTATGCACATATGTATCTATTCCATACAAGACACGAGTATTGTCTGTACAGTTTTATGTCTATAATCATTAATTTTAGAAAAGCGTTAGCGTAAGCATGTTCTCGATAACCTCTTCGTGGAATCGATGCAGCATAGTCGGTTTACGCCCAACGAGTGTAAATTACAACCAACGAGCGGTATTTACTTCCTACATGAAGTGTAGATGTTCCACTAGCCGCATTCGTACTAAGCGTGTTTTATGGAGTCGATCTTGGTTGTTGTTACGCTGATTCCTCGGTCGTAATCGCTGCCGATCTTCGCGCGATCGAGAAGTTATCCGCTCGTTTCGCCGAAGAAGAGGTCGAGCCTGCTAGGTGAGTTGTCGATTCAGGAAGCTTCGTCGCCGATGTAATACTATCGGACAAGAGAACGCCTGGATACCGCATCGTCCGTTATTTGCTTTTAAGGTAGTGGACGAGAACACACGCTTGTATATTTTCTCATAGATTCTTTATACCAACTGAATGTGAACGATTCTCAAAAATACCTTGCAGGATCTATGCTTAGAAGTCACGCTGAGAAGTACATATTTCAAATCGTTTTGATTTACTTTGCATATTGTATATTTTCTGTCGTTATTCTCTCAAGAAACCGTCAGATCGTAAAGATCTTTAATTCCCAGAATATATTGTATCAATAATTGCGATATTCGCACGATTTTCTAGTGAGAAATGATCGTCTATTTTATTTCGACATCGATTTGACGTCTATTCGACATTAAATTGACAGTCTTTCTGGTTTATTGGTGTATACAGTATCTCTTGAAGTTATTGCCTTCTGCAAAAATCCAAGAAAATAATTGTAAAGATTTAGAAATATTTGAAAACATGCTAGTCCATAGATAAAACGCTCCATAAATTAAAATTAATTTACGATCTGCTTGTGTTTAAACGCATACACCGATTACTATTAATTAATCGTTATGTTGTACTCACAATAGATAAATTCCTAATTCTTATAATTTAGAAAATTTTATACTGTTACTTTATTACGTTTCCAAAAATAAATGCATACTCTCGATAGAGAACTTTAGTACACTATTTACAGCATTTACAAGCAGAAAATAATAATGTTATGGGTAGAGGAAGTAGGTCGCCGAAATCAATATATCATTTTATTTTTGGACAATATATCTTAAACAAACGTTAAAAATAAAATTTTAGGAAGATAAATACAAACTACAAAGTATCTTCTATTAAATTATATAGTAGTTTTTATATATAATACTGTTTGCAATTTTGCAATAATTAACTTTTTCAAGATAAGCAAAAATAAGCGTTTGACAAAATGGGCTCTAAAACTAACATAGGCAATAATGTCACATACTATTTCTATTCTTTTTCTTTCACAGGAATCATCCGTACAAAATACCGTATAAAATACCTACAAATGAATGTATATAAGATTTTCTAGAATCTTTTCATTCCAATATAAAACGTTTTTTGATGATTTATATTTTATACTGTTTTGTAAGATACAAACATGTAACATATACAATAGTTTCTTTTTAAGGATTTTCTTAAATACACAATTGTGTGTCTTTGACTCTGATTAAACTATTTGACACTGTAAAAATTAAATTAGCTTATGATCTGTCAGATCAATGATGAGATATTTATACAAGGGTCAGATATTTTTAAAATTTATCTAAATACAGATATAGATACACATATTAAGATGTATAGTATAGATACAGAAATTAAATACTTTGAAAAATATCTTCAGATACATTTCAGTTACTCTTAAATTAATTTTATTGCAATAATGGTAATGTGTAAAAAATGTACTAGTTATTAAATGAATCATTCATTTATTCATTTTTATTATATTTATATGTTATAGATAATTGAAAAAACTTATAATTATAAAATGATTTAGGATAGGAATTATAAGATGATATTATTCATCATAGGTTTACAAATTAAAAATGCTTCAAGCATTGTGTTTCCAGCTTAACTATACATACGTTAGAATTCCATAATCTAAGATCACTGGCTATGTTCAGCAGAAAAAGCAGCTGTGTAACTGTAAATTTTTTTATAATAAATTACCATTGTAACTATAAATTTTTAATATAATTGATTTGCATTTAGATCCTGTGAGAAACTAAGGGAAAGGTCAATCATGTTATAAAATTTTGCAATAGCAAAACTGTTTTTTTTTCTGCAGAATAGAATCAATCGACAATCACACATAAAATAGAATTATGACTATGCTGATGTGTATGAAATGTGTCTGAAAAATGCATCTGAAAATCAATTCAGATACTGTGTTTTTTTATCTAGATACATGTATAGAGATACTATCTAATACTAGGTCTGTTTTATCAATAGGTATACTGATTTACGTTACGTGTCAATTTTATATTTAAAACTATACTGTAAAAAAATAAGAAAGAAAGAAATATTAAAAAATTGATTTAGGAGACTACAAACATGTAAAATAATGTAAAATTATCACTAATATAATATACACATTATTTAAACTACGCAATTTGCAAAATAATGTTGTAAGAATTTTATATTCGCACTTGTAGAATTCTTTTCTAGCTAATTTTATATAGAAACAAGCCACAAATATATGAACTATGAATTTTTACTTTAATATTCTAAACAAATCTTGGTTTTTTATCAGTATTAATAAAGTGTAATAAGTAATTTTCAAGAAATAAGGGAACGTCTTTTTAGGAGACTTACATTATTATAATATATCAGTATCAGTGACTTTCCTGCAATATTAAAACTCGATTGCACCAATGTTATTTTGATTTTAAGCAAGTTTAAAACTATCTCTTTCTTTCTTCCTTTCTCTTTCTCTTAAGGCTTGAAAGAGAGAGAGAGAGAGAGAGAGAGAGAGAGAGAGAGAGAGAGAGAGAGAGAGAGCACTATATTCACATATCAGTCGAGCTTTTTTCCATCAAAATCGATAAATATTCAATAAAAAATTAAAAAATTTGTTTCATCTCACTAAAAGAATTTCGATAAAGTCTGCGATCCACTTATAATTAACACTGCAAATTTTTCGAAGCATTCTTTGATTGGTCAATTCATAAAATTCTTTCTTCTAATTGGTCAGTATTTGATCAACCGAACGAAGTATTTGAACCGTTAAGGTGGATTGCACCTAAGTCAGTAGGGAAGGTCGAACGAGTAATCAAATCTCTCCCCGTCCCCTCTCACCCTGATTTGCGTGCAAATTGCTCGGTCATAATACAACTCGTCGGCGCAAAGCAAAAGGAATAGCGTCACGCGCGTTACCGTTGTACTTCCGGCTGTAGCGGAACTGGAGCGGGGCGCAGGCATTGAGGCACGTGGTCGCGAATTCTCTCCCTTTTCATCGATGCAACTGGCAACGGCGGCAACGGCGGCAACGTGAGCGAAGGTCGCTGTGGAGAAAAGGAGAAAGCGCGCGCGCGCGCGCGCGGTGGTTGAATAAGGTCGAATAAGGGCGGGAGCGTAGCGTGCAGCTGCGCGCGCATACCAGAGTCATGCTGCCGGTCGACGCGTGGTCGGTCGTGACGACGGCTCGACATTAGTAACGCCGAAGCCTTCGAACGGGAGAGTTCTATTCGACGAGCGTTCGAGCAACGGGACAAACGACTCTCCGTTTACTTAGTCTCTTTTGAGTCTCTCTTATTTGGCGCATACTTCACTACACTCGGATTTCGACTCTCCGTTCGCGATCGCTTTGGTTCGTGTCGCGAAATGATATCAATTTGATTGATTCAAGTGCGTTTCTCGAGAAACATTCGGAAGACTTTGTGGAAGATTTGATACTTGTGTGATTTCTTGTGATAATCGACAACGTATTTATTTCGAAAAAAAATTCGATTAACGAGAACCGTTACAGATTTCTCATCATGAGGGCGTTTGTATTCGTGCTCATTGTGACGATCGCGACGGTTGTCGTTTCGGAACCGGACGACCTGACGAAATCGCGATTGAGGATCTTCAAGTGTTGTCGATATGGCGAAGAACTAATTAATGATGACGCGAACAGCAACGCGTTGCCGCGTTGCGTGCCGACGAAGAATAAGTGGAAAACTTTCATTTTCTCGGTTGATGATGGAGTTATCCTTGATGAACCTCCCGCTAATTGGTACATTATCGATGATCAACGACCGAAATGTGACAACCGCTCGGAATTAGTTTACGTACCGAACCGGCATACGAATCCGTTCGTCATGTTCATAAACGGCAAAGTGGTGCTCGAGTACAGTCAAGCCACTAAAGGTCCCTACATTCCTCCCAGTCACTATTGTTCCGATACGAACGCCCTGCTTGTGTGCATGCCGAAAAAATCGGCAGGCAATCATGCCGCAGCAACTATGAGGCCACGAGTGCGACGTTGTTGTGGCGAGAACGCTAGTTTCCACGAAGGCGGGTAAGTTCTCGTAATAATTTCTCAATGCGTTACATTGCTGGTGACCTGTCGGATTAGGTCGATTGGTCGATCCAAATAATACAATGATTTGGGTTAGTAGAGGATAATTCAGGTAGAAATATCCGGTATTATTCTTTTCTGCTTTTTACAGGAAACTCTTATAACGGAATTTAATCTTTGAAGGACAAGTTTTTACTTGCTTCATCAACTTTAGTAAATTGTCCATTGCTTTATCCACTTTAGTAAGTTGGAATAATATAACATAAAAAATTCAGTATATATATATATTTGACAAAATTGTTCATGGCCAGACTTTGTTATAGACAGAGTTTGTAATTTTTACCATTGTAGATCAACTTTTATCTCAATTCAACTTTTTTTTATTTTTTATCTTCCTCTAAATTCTTCTTCTAAAAATTAGAAGTTCACAGCGTTTAAGAATTATTTTATTTTTGTTGTTTATCAATTGTTAAACCAGGACAAATGTTTACATGTTATGAGTGCGAATTGGATCGCGTTCTTGCGCGGTTCATCATTTCTCTTTTTCTTTTCACGTTGAAGAATAAAAGAGAAATGACGAACTATGCAAAAAGTTCAACTAATCTCTAAAGAGAACACAGACTTGATATTTTCCTGAGATGTAGATCATTTAAAATTACAAATATTGTTAATAAGAAAATAAAATTTTTATTGATATCTATCATTTTATTTTCTATTGAAAAATTAGGAGAATATATGTTGTAAATTAGAAGAAAAATTATAAATGTTACACGAATTTTTTTGGATTATATAATTTATATAATTACATTTTTAAAAAATAGATATTGAAAAAGATTTGCTGGCAAGTTAAAAAACATTAGATGTCAAATAAATCAAGCATTAATTTTCGGCCCAAATCTTTTCTCTTATTTTCAAAAGTTATAAGAAATTGATCTAAATGTTGTCCTAGAACTCAAAAACCAAAAAAGAAGTATATAATTATAAGTTAACTAATATCTAATTATATTTTATAATAATAAAAGTCGACATAAAATGTCCTAATTAAAAAATAATATATATAAAATTTATAGTAAAAAATTTACAAAATACGAATATAATATTTATTTAGAAACTAACTTACCGTATAAACGAATCTAATTCCAGATAAAAATGATTTTAATATATTGAAAACCGATAAGTTAAATAATTCGAGTTGGAATATTAATAATATTTCAAAAAATCTAAATGTAAGTAATATGATACAATGAAATTGTATCAGTAATATGATACAATAAAATAGTTTCTTATCTATGTAAATTCTTTCGTTTCTTATCTAAATATTATTACGGAATAAATATTTCGTTGTATAATTTACCTCTCTGATGAAACAGTAACGGATTTTATAAGTCTTCGACTTAACCATTGGTAGCTATTTATTTATCAAGTAACGTTTGAGTTGAAATCCGTTAAATATACGTATAGAGCGACCTTGACGGTTACATTCGTCCGGTTTGTATTCGAGAATGTTAACGTTGCGTGCATAAGGCAGTTTCTCGGCGAATTCTAGCATATCAAAATAAATGAATACGCAATATCACACTAGTTTTATAATAAAAACTAAATTGAAACTGACATATGACTACCAATGATATAGAAGTAAGATATTTATCAATTTTTTATGTACGTGTGTTTGTATATGTGTGTGTGTGTGTGTGTGTGTGTGTGTGTGTGTGTGTGTGTGAGAGAGAGAGAGAGAAAGAGAGAGAGAGAGAGAGAGAGAGAGAAAATACTCTCTAAATTTCTTGGAATAAAATCTCATTGCAAAAATGAAATACTGTCATTATTTTAAAAAAGTAAAAAATTTGCACTCTTACACAATGAGTGACAGATTTTTACTCTTTTTTTTTGGAGTAAAATTCATTTCAAAGGAAAGAAAACTTATTCATTTTTTTAAAATGAATTTTACTCCAAAAGTGAAATCTCATTCCAAAAAAAAGTATGAAAATTTATCACTTATTCAAGAATGCACATATTTTTCACTCTTTTTTTATAGTGGCAGTATTTTAACTCTTTTGGAGTGAGATTTCACTCCAAGAAATTTAGTGTAAAAAAAAATTAAAAAATAAGAATGAATTCTCTAACAGTAAAGAAAACTTGTGCTGTTGAGTTTCATGTTTTTTGCTGCTGACTATTTTTGAAATAATTGATATTATTAGCATTTTGTTTTTCAATTCTTATCTTTTTCTAGTTTCTTTATCTTTTCATTTTTTAACTTTATTTCTATTTTTATTTTTGTAACTCTATTTTATATATTTGATTTTAATATCTCTTATTCTATTGCTCAGTTTTGTACAGTTTTTAGCGTTGGATTCAATTTTAAAACGTTTAATAAATAACTATCTATTTATCTACCTACCTACCTCTCTGTTACTTAGAAAACATCCAGTAAATCTATATTATATAATTAATAATAGTGACTTTTATTTAATTATTAAACATTTCTGCAAACTAAAGAAACATTCGTAAAAGAGACAACAAAAGAGTGTACGCTCGAATGCCTCTACTATTTCTCATTGTAACGAATGGCTCTATGACAAATATTTTTTATATTTAACAGAAATACCTGCGTAAACCTGGAAGAAACTGCGGATGCACCGCCCTTACTTCCGAACGCGTCGTCCGCCATCGAAATCGTGTTCGGATTTCCTAACTGCCCAAAATCCGACAATTTCACGATCGTCGGAAATGCAATGGACTCTGAGATGCATCCCGACGGCAGCTTAGAGATAAATGGGGCCGTTTTACCTAGCGGTCAGTTCTGCGTTGAAAGGATTAAGGAACTCAATCAGATCGCCAAGGTGTTCGCCTGTCCTGAGCATGCACCACAAAGGTTAGTGCGAGATTGAAATCGATGATATATTTTCGTTCTCACACTTTTTTATGCAATGTTACAGAATAATGATAAACAAATAATAATAAAAAATTTATGTTATTTTAGCGTCTACACACGTTAAGATAACATCATGATATTGCTTCGTAATTATCATGTTATTTGAAACCTATAAAGATACAAAAATGTTCAAAGATAGATAAAAAGTCGTGGGTAAGGGATTTTTATTTTTTATTACTTTTACTCGGATTTGGAAAATGTTATTCAATTTTGATACATAATTCAGTTGTTTTTTTTTTCAATACGTTATAACATTATTATTTAAGTATTGTTGAATATATTGATATCGATCCTGCCTGAATCTAATTATCCTAATGGAAAACTATAATATTATTTTGTTATAATTTTCTTTTTTTATAGTATTATTTTCTAACAGATTTTTATCTCCATCGGCCTTGAAATTTTGCACTTTTCATCAACAATATGGGGTTTTGAGCAGTGGGGTCCACAGCAGATTTTTTTTATTGTTCCGAACTAAATAAAAACCTGTAAAAAATTTTGTACACTTATAAACATTATTAACAAAAATAACAATTAAGATCTAGGTCTCCAACAATAAACGACTATGAAGTTCTTTGGACAACAATTTAACGATGATTCATTAACTGTATTCGTCTATCTTTTTATAACGATTTAATTTGACTCCAAAAAATGTTATTGATGCACTGAAAAGGATCGAATCTTATAATCAAAACGTAATTGATGATTAACATTTATTATATATTTTATTACACACATACAACTATATCAGCTCTCATTGGCATTATACTCCTTTATTGATATAACAAAAATAAGTTTTTACCATAAGAGAAGTCGTATTATATTTTGCTTAATTTTTACAAATTCAAATTTGAATAAGAAAATTGAAAAAACGGATAAAAATTTGTAATTTTATATAAAATATTTTATGTAAAATCATTTTTATAAAATAAAATTTTGTTTATTTTTATAAAATAAATATACAAAAAATCAAAATATTATATGGCACCCCTCTCACAATATTTCGCTCCTCTTACACTTTGGCTTACCACACAAGTTACAGCAATAGTTTTCTTATAATTTCTCAAGTTGCATTTATTTATCAAGTCTTTCTTTTTTAATTATGAGTATTTCGTGAATCTTGTATTTAATATATTTTTGTAAAAGTTGATTTTGTAGTTGAGATCTGAAAAGAGGCTATATCAAATCAAAACCAAATTCTTTACAAAATTCGATGATTTAAAGTAAATAGTATAGCTGTTCTCAAATTAAATAATATTACAGAATTAACAATAACTTGGTCGAGTATACCAAAATAGTCATAATATCCATCTCATAATGAGTAAAGTTATAATGAAGTAATACAAATTATTAAGTAAGCAACGATACATGCATATATCTAAACCAAGCATATCCATACTGACTGGCGATTGACTCGGCACTTACACGTTATAAGCTTCATTCTATCTTTATCATTCATTACTTATAGAAGAAAGATAGAATGAAGTTTGAACATTTAAACCGAATGCAGTTATTCACTTCCATTCATTTCTAAAAAGCGTGAAATTAACAATAAAACACGTAGACTAAGCATTCTATTTTTGGCGTGAATCTAACCATTTGACAAAGAAACAGTACGAAGAGGTGTGTTCTGATTCCCATCTGGATGCTCCTCAGTCATGTCATCCTTGTTTAACATTCGGTATATAAGGATGATATGACATCCGGCTTTAGCTGAGAATCCGAATATGCCCAAGAAAGGCTTTATGCATGTTTTCTTTTCCTCCAAATAATCAACGTTAATTGAAAAGAGAGAAACATACGCATATATTTTCTTTTTTCAATGCTGAGGCAAGAAAAAGAAAAATACATAAAGAATATATAAAGCTCTTGTCGCACACTCTGTTAATATGGCAACTTTAGGCTTTTTATGGAAAACTTAAAACTTTTTTCTATATTGAAAAGCATTCGATCTTTGACATGAACCTAATTAGTAGTTGACCATGTTTTCTAGGGACAAAAAGATAGGTTGATCTGAGTTCTCTATAGTTTGCTATTCAGTGGTTGAAGACTAAGTAAAGTTGAAACGTCCAATGCTTTGTATATTAGTGAAAAAGTTTCACGTCATGGAGTCATGTAACTTTTCCCCTATGACGGAAACGTGACAAGTGACATTTTTGTATGTATATGTATATGTTTTACACACACACACACACACACACACACACACACACACATACACGTACTATTTAAAAATTTTCATTTTTCACGTTTCAGCTCTAGAAAAAAAAGTTATATGGCTTTGATACCTAGTGATCGAACATTTGATCTAGATATATATGTCGTATAGGTTTTATCACAAGATGTCAATGCTAGGGAATAACATATGGCCATGCGTTAGCCAATCAACGTTTAAGTCTTTATGGAAAATGTCTAAATCGAAGAGACAATAGAAATTGCATGTCTATTATATTAACGCACTAATTACCGTGTAGACTCTTACTTCTCTCAATTTGTAGTATTTTAATTTGTTAAATATTGAGGAGTCTGATTCTATTATATTTACTTTACGGAAAAGTTAAATACTGATTAGCCAAGATGTAGCTCACGCATTATTCTGTAACATTGACGTATCCTATAATAATTTTTATATAGCAATAATTTTTATATAGCTTGTCAAAGATGTCTTGTGTCTTCTTTGTTAGGATAATTGAATCTAATTATAAAATAATACCATTTCCGGTTTACCACTCTATTTTACGGTCTGCAATTTGTGTTGAAAGCATAAACATCTTTTAATCGTTCTTACAATCATGCGATCTTAATGATACTAAGTTATTTTAGAAGGAGGAATTGAATCTATTTATTTTCTTAAAAATGATCATCGAAATACATCGACTGTACCTCCAAGTTGGTTGATGAAAGGGTATAAGGGTATCGTAAATGAAATAGATTCTTATCTAACATTCTTTGAAATCGGTAATAAATATTAATTTTTTTCTGTAGTACGTTGCACTATTAAAATATATTCCACGCGCGCGCTGTTCCGATCGATATCAAGCGTAAATCGCAGGAAGTTAAACATCGATCTCTCAATTATGCAAAACTAATTCTCTGTTCTTCTTCTTATTCGCTCGATCATCGTTCATTCGTACCGCGTAATGAAGAATGAAGTCGACTCGCGGCCGGTTCCGGCGGTCAAGTTATCCGACCCACTTTAAGGCACTCCAAGCACGATCCGACTTTTTGCCCCGTTAAGTATCGCCTGCTCCGATCTGAATTTATCGTACGACTTAATTGCGCGTTCGATGTTAGGTAGCTGGAGCGAGGGATAAACGGTTTCCCGCTTCTACGTCGTTCTTGGGACACGTAGAGGAAATAGTCTCAGTTCGCCTCACTTTCATTGCTCCTCGACAGGTATTTTCTAGGTCGCGTGTGTCCGAGGTCTCACGTCATCCGAGATTCCATTAAAATGTTCTCACAACAGTCACAACTCAATACCGCATTTCCGCGCACAGGAGCGATGAGCGATATAAACGCTTCAGCTCACGGAAAATTGCGTAAGGAAAATGGCATTGCGAGGTTTTTTTCTCATCCCGTTCTTTCTTAGAATTTCAACATAATTGAAGATCTGATCTTTCCTATCTAGAATGTCTTAAAAAATAATCCCATAAAGTTGAGTCTAATTTGAAGATATAAAGAAGTGCTGATATTACATTTTTATTATAAAAATGAAAAGCGACATTATTTCTTGATAGAGGATTAAGAAGTGTCCAAAGTTTTTCTACTTAGAAAGAAATGCGAAATTGTTACGAGTCTTCGTACAAGCGTTGTTATAAGTAACCAAATACGACCTAATTTCGCTTTACATAACAATCCAATATGCTAAATGTCAGGTGATTTACAGATCCTGTACGTCATGTAACGTACCTAAGATAGGGTTAGAAGATCTCATTCGTCTAGACAGATACGTCCCGCTAAGACGAAGGACGAACCGTGATGGATTGACGGGTAGACATGCAGGACATCGTTGATAATAAGATCCGAGGTTTCCGTTCGGTACAGACATACAGACGTACAGACGTCGTGTCATGTAGTGTCGCATCGTACATATACAACGAGAGAATTCTCGGCTAGAATGTGTCGCACTACCGGGGATAGTATACCAATGAACCATGTTTATCTCCCGGATTCAAAGTGTCGCCGACGCGGTGTTTAACGAAAATTACTGGGAGAATTTATGGCAAAAGTTTAATCGCCGTTAGGTGCATAAAGTAACATCGAAAATGCGATTAGCGCCGCGCATTTGCGCCCAATGTAGGATCGATTTTGCTGAAAGTTATTCCGTTCGTATTCTATTTGCACTTCTACATATACGTATATGTACATACGGGTCGGCTGACACACAGCATTTTGTTTCCCGTGAAAAATTTACTCACCAACTACTTCAACGAACGGCAATCAATGGAACAAAACGTGGTCGGATGCGATAGACTTTTTTTTTTCATCGCGAATGCTTTCCAAATAGAATCGGTGACTTTTCTCAAAATTGGATAAAATCAATCTTTGACGGTACCTGTATTAAATGCAAGTGTTGCAATGCGATATAATCGAGCAAATTTCAAAGCAATTGTTATCTTTTATTTTACAAAAAGCCAGAAATAAAGCTCAATTTTATTTTGAATTAAACTGTAATTTCTTCATTGAAAAATATTTACTAAATTTTGTTACATATTTCTTTGAATAGTATTAGTATAGTACTAAGTAAATATTTATTTACAGTAAATTTATTTACAGTAAGAACTATTCAAATAAATTTTTAGTAAGATTCATGTTTTTTTCAGTGTTGAAAAAAGAGCTTTATATCGGTGGTTTTATATTCTATTATCGTAAACATATATTTTTTGCAATAGATTTATTATAGAATGTATTTAAATAATGTTTGTGACGCACGTAGATTTTTTATCATACGAAAGTTTTTTCAGTAAACACCAAGTCAAATCTCTTGGAAGTCAAAGATCTTGGAAGAGCTTTCCCCTCAACTTTCACTCGCATTACGTATGTACGAGTGATAGATATGCTAGTTAAAATCACTATAAAAGATTCGAAAACGGATACCGTCCATCCTGATTGTTCTGAATGCGGTCACATCGTGATGTCATTAAATATGATGAAAAATTGTTCCATTCGTGCGCGCGCGAATCTTCTAGGAATCTTAATTAAAAACGGACATAACGATTGTCGATAACGCGGTATTATTTCCGTTATAATCGATCGAATATCTGGCTTACTGCCCATGGTTGGCAGTAAGCCAATCGGTCAATTGCCGATGTGACGCCGATAAAACTGCCTGAATTTAATTAATCCGCCAGCGCGAGAAATAACGAGAAATAGCGCCATAATTTGCCTTTTTCTTTCGCGACTTTTTGTCTGTAGGTAGTGAAAAATATCGACAGGACCGACACCGGAATTTGCATGTTAAATGTATGCTAACCTTCCTTTCTGCCACTACTACTCTGTAAAAAAAGATTCGAAAAGTGAAAAGAGAAAAAAGAGAAATTTATGATAAAAGTATGTACGTGTATACAACGTAAATTATTATTATTTCTTTTTTCGTTAATTGTTATTGCTATTGCATTGTTATCGAATAAATTGTACATTGTGGTATTTTTATTAGTTGTACATTGGATTCGAATATTATCATTAAAATTGTCGACATAAATTACATGTTCATTTAAATCTTCCATTAATGTGTGAATACATATATAAAATCATAGTATCTCACTTAAATGATTTTATTATTATTATTATATATATATTATGTTCACCCGTTGTTTGATGTATAATCGTTGAGCATGACGGAGATTCATTCTACGAAAAATAATAAAGATTTAAAAAGGAAAAAAATAATTATTACAAAGCAGAACAATTTTCTATCTTTCGCCGATTACACGATTGACTCATGAAATTTCATGACTTTCAGATGGAACTTTTAGATCTTTATGCTTTTTACGTTGAATAAGTTTAAATGAAAACTAGTGTCCAAAATAGCGTTCTAAAATCTGCTCGAATTTTTCAGACCTGCGGTGAAAGCGACAGATATCAGATTCACCCTGTATCCCGTGGGTTTCATCATTAGCGCTCTCTTCCTGGCTGCTACTTTAGCGGCCGGTTGTTTATTACCAGCCTCTCATCACGTTCTGCATTGGCGTTGCCAGACTCATCATGTCGCCTGTCTGATGATGGGCGATATTCTCATGGCCATCATTCAGCTTGCTGGGGATTCTCTTCATGGTGCAAGCTGCAAGGCGTTCGGTGAGTATTCATTATTCCCTTGTTAATTTTTTCACTGCCTCCACTTCTTGCCTCTCGAGTGGATTCTAGCAGAAAGCGATATATTTACAGTAATTTCACGGTTTGTCTCGATACTGCAAAATGACACAGAGGCGTTTCTCTACGATATTCAAGTATATTAAAGTTGCAAATTTATTCCATAGCTTTACGTATAGTATTTTTTGATAAATGAACATGTGAAACGTATTATTTAAGATCTTTACAATTTGACGAGTTTTACTTGTTTAAATGTACTTTATATATCGTATATATCGTTATCTGTTGAGTTATCTTGAAGTATCTTGTATTATAATAAATAGGTGTATTATAGATTGGTTCTATATATAATTTAGAAGTGTCTTTAACATGAAACATTATTGAAATATTATTTTCTCATTGCATTCACATACAAGTTCTGCCTTTATGTGCTGCATTTGAATGCCATCCGGTTACTTTTTGCGATCTTCTATAAGATAACGCGCGCGTCCGGAATATTGCTGGAATTCTCCACAATAAACTATATCTAATAGCCGTGTAAACGGAAAAAAATGAACAATTCGCTATTTATCGGAGCGTGGCGATCTGCCAATTCGCTTCTTTTATTAACGTCCATCGGTATAAATCGGAAGCGACGCGACTCGGATTAAACGAAATTGAAAACTAACCGGATCTTCACGTTGAATGAGCGTTGACATATCAAAAAATAATAAGAAGGTTAATGATTTTGTGAAATGAAAATCTGAGCAATAACTATAAAGAGCAATCTACTTTTCCTGGTGACTTAATGCTCTGTTATTTATTTTTTTTCGAATTTTATTTACTTATTTACTTATCAGTCGGTAGGGCTTTCGACTTACGAGGGAACGCGACGTTGATTATCCAACAAATGTCAGCCGATATGACCGAATGCGCAGATGGAATACGCGAATTTGGCCGACGATCGGAGCCGGGCTTTATTTGCCACCCCGTCCCCGAAGCTCAGAGGGTAATTATTCGGATAATCGTAGTAATCCCTCGCAAAGCTCCGCTTCTCTCGTCTCGTTCCGATCGCGAGAATCGATTAGTGCGTACACCCGTGCAAGTCCAGCTTCTCCACGTTGTAATAGCGCACAGTGGCTCTTATTTGCATGAAGAATCGATTACGCAGATTCCACCGGAGCACAGGGATGTTTTTCCTATCGTGATCTGCGTTTAACCATTCGTTCTTACAAATTGGCACAGCTGACCGTGTAGCTGTAGGCCGGAGATCATTATCGCTCGTGTTCTAACCGTGTCTTTTCAAAAATACATTTGAAAAATAAAAATCTCTTTTAGGAATTTGGAAATGTAAATTTATTCAATTTATAAAAATAACAAAATAAAAACTCTAAATACTTTTAGAGAAAAAAGTTATTTAAATGTTAAATAAAGTAGAATTTAATATCGAAAATTTAATATCTATAGAGGAAGATATTAGCTTTTTTTCTACATAAATTTTTAAATGAGGAATTGCTCGGATTGCATGGATTTTTTGTAATATTATTTTTGGAGAATAGGTGCTATATTATGATCACATCAAATAAAAATGAAAACTTTTACAATTTATGTTGAAATAATAGTCGTAACTGGAACCGGTTATATTTAAGGTCGTGGACCTTCCGTCTACGAAAACTGAAGAAAGGAGAAAGTGGAACGTATAGCGGCGAGTGCTGACCCACAATCTCTTTCGTCGATATTCTCGGTTTTTCTCTTTTTCTCGACTCAAAGAGAGTGTTACTTCGCGTAGCGTACTATGAGTGCTCTTCTTATTCGCTGACATATTTAATCGTATCAACTATGATTTCCAACTTTCTCTTATGGATCTTCTTTTAGAATCCGACACTTTACATGCAACGATCTACCATAATAACATTAATTACAAGATTTTATACAAGAGCTTGTAAAGACTATTTCCAGAATAATTTCGATGCTAAGCTCAGATCTGCCATTGAAATATTTTTAGTAGATTCGGTTTTTGAGATATAAGAAAAAACATTTTTTCTACTGCATGATTTAATTTTATCGAAATTGGAAAACAAATTAGAAATGTTGAGTGTTTTATTTTTGTCCTTTACATGACTTTATACCGATTTCACGTATTAGAGCTCAGTAATAGTCGTCTAGAATGTTTTCGTTTCGATATTCCTAATCAATTATCAATTATCAATTATCAATTTCTTTATCAATTATCAAATTCTAATGGAAACGTTTGTCTTACTCATCGTTTATCGCATTCAAATTATTAGGAAAACAATATCTTAAAAAATGCTATACTATATTTTGAAATTGATATGTTATATCTTGAAATTGATATCCTACAGCTTTTAAATTCTAACAGATTTTTTTCTGGCTGATTCGAATTCAATGCCCCAAAATATGTTAAAACAGTTATTTCCCTTTTTACACTAAAAATTATTTCAAATTTATAAACTAGTATAATTTAAGTAATTTAATAACGTAAAAATTCGTACATAGATTATTCAAGAAGTAGAACAAAGAATTAAAACAAATATTAACTATTAATACTATAATTACTCGATACAATGGTAGAGTTAAATTTATCGAGTTATTGTCAACATTCTCTCGATCGATGATTCATCATCAGTTGAATTACTCGCTGGAATGGAGCGAGTATTTCAACATCGGAATTGATTAAATCAAGATAGCTGTTTTTGATGTTGCGTTGTGAGCTCTAATGAGGAATTGGTATCCTCTTCTTTCCTTGCGTGCTTAGACATTTCTAATTCGCAGACGCACGCATTGCGTATCCCATTACGGCAACGCGAATATAGCGGATGTATCACGATACGCGAAGTCATCTCGCGTATAAAGGTAGGAATTCCAGCGACGACGATAACGGTAAGCTGGATTCTTTTTATTGTGAAACACCATCCTTCCCCCTTCCCTGCGCTTATTGTCTCGCGAAAAGCGCGCGAGAAATCGCTCGCTGATGCGTTCGCGACGCGTGCATCGCTCCGACGGCCTTCGACCGGCATCGACCGGAAATCGTCGAAACATGGAATGCGCCACGATGCAATTTTGAAGCATACCGAATTCCGCGGCGGGTTTATGGAACAGAGGGGACGTTCACGCTAGTAACGTTCGCTGCGATGCGAATATGCGATAAATGCAAAATGTTTCGCGCGTCCAGTTGCGCATACTCTTTTTCATTCTCTCTTCGTGTTTTTTACTCGTGTAGTATCGAAATAATCTGATACTATTTCAATATACTATTTCAATAATTTAAAATATCGAATTTTCGTGTATGAAGTTTGCTCAGAAATTTCGTATATATTCTCGTATAAATTATGCTTGATAGTACGAGTAATCGAATATTATTCAGAGAGCCCGGTATATTTAATAAATATAAGAATAAAATTGTGGCAGCTAGCATGTATGAATTGTAAGAGAACAATAGGAAATTTTGTGATATAAAATATGATATCAGACGGTGTGAACGTGGATTGATTTTAACGCTGTCACGTAAATAAATGGAATAGTCTATATTTTGCTCGCTATAGTACAGCGTTTATAATTTCCTTTATATATCAGTATTAAGAATTTAAATATAGTTATTATATAACTTTAATTGCTGTAAAATGTACACAACACATCTTTAAATCATATTCGATATTACAGAACTCGTCTCTTCTTCGCATCTTGAATTTAACATTTATATTGAAATTTCTCGTGTAATATTCACAATTCTGTTGTTATAACATTTTTCGCCGATATCATGGATATTTAACGCACAAATCCGTGCGATCAAATTCCATGATACTAAATATTCCAAATAATGTAATAATCCATGTATTAATCCGAATATTTTGCAAAGCGTGTTTCTCATTAAGTTATTGAACGTTATAATCTTACAAAACATATTTAGATGGAATTGCATCGTGAACGCGATGTAACGCGACCTTCAAATAATAAGCATAACTATATACGAACGTGTTGCGAACGCAACTCCTTTCTAATCCGTCTACGATCATATCACTCGGATGGTTCAACGGTATCGTGTATTACGCGCATTATTGATTTTGTTCTCGTTATTTGAACGATCTACAAAGTGAAAGACATGAGAGAGAATCTTGGTGTATTTATCTCGAATGTCCTTTTTCTTCCGACCTTTCGTAATGTGCAGTGTCTCTTCGGAAAACATCAAGGATGAAAACTCCCACTCGCTGTGACTTTGACTTTGACCGAGAATTCTAATGTCTCAGACGTTGGGCGTCCATTTGAGGAGAAAACGCGTCGCCGGAACGTCTTGAATGGAGGAGAGTAAATCAAAGCCTCGTTGCCTTTTCGAAATGCTGTATACCATGTTATATACGCCGATCTGAGAGACGGGACGTGAAAGAGGATTTTACTTGATTGGCAGGAAATTCCCGCTTTTGGGAATTCTGCTATTCACGCAAGACCATTTAGATGAAGCGATATTACCGCATAACGGCATTACAGCAAATCCTGTTTCGTATTTTATCAAATTTCACAAAAAAAGTCATAATAATAATCTAGTATTATCGACATACAATTATACAATTAATTACATTATTAATCTACACATATATATGTATATAT